GTGTGTGTGTGTGTGTGTGTGTGTGTGTGTGTGTGTGTGTGTGTAAATCAGACTGACTGGCCAGGTATCCATGTCCACCACAGGCTTCCCTGCACTCCTGGATGCCCCTCTGTGCAATCCAAGAGCCCAGTGGTTTACTACAGCATCCAATAGCATGAATCTCCCTGCCCATCTCTGCCTGTCAAACACATAAGATAAATATCACTGTAATACAACTGAAATACAACTGTACAGAACAGCTGCAGACCAGTCTCTGGTCTTTACTCACCTGTCTATCACTGTTTTCTTTCATCATCCGTCCGATCTGAAACTCAACGAAGTTCATTAATATGGTTTTGGTGAAATGTTCTAAAACATACGCCGCTGCCAGGTATGGAATTAGGCGCCATTGCTGGAACACACAATCAAATATAACAATAACACTTGAAATATTGGTGCCAGTCCTTTCTCTGAACTACAAAGCTGTTAAAAACAAAACAGGCTCCTCATTACAGGAATGTCTTAAAACAATAAATGAAAAAAATGTCACATGAACCACTGAAAAGATACAGTATTAACAAAGCTCTCAGAAGGTGCATATTTACAACTGATGAACTTTTAGATTAAATCTAGTTCAAGATAACCACCAGAGCTAATCAACCACAAATATAACTAATAACCTAGTCAACGTTACATATACTTAACTAAAGTGAAATAATCCTAGTCTAAAACTCTGGTATGAAAGGTGGCATGTRTTTTGCTTCATGGAATACTGTGTTAAACTAAAGTAAATTAAATTAAATTAGCTAATTTTGTCCCATTTTGTCTGATCATTTCCTCCCACCTGTAATTGATACTCCAAAACTGGGATCTCCTCTGTGACTTTAGGTCCAAACTGTCTCCTGGTGGCTGAGAAACGAATCCCCACAGTTAGAGCAAGTTTCAAGTTCATGAGAGACATCCTCCCGATATATATCCTGCCACCTGAAAGGGCACCCAAAGATGCCCCAAAACGCTTGTTGGGATCCTGAAGAAGAACAAAAAACACTGGAAAACTTTTGTGAAAGGTAAGCTGTTTAACGACAAACACTAGTGTGGATGACAGAGGAAATTTATTTTGTGAATCTCARCAAAACATAAATGATGTGCTACATCTACTGCCAAGCTGACAACGATAATGTTATCTGACATTTCCTCCTGCAGCCTATCTGAGACTGCCACAGCTGTCTGTTCACCTGGTCTTTAGTGATGGTAGTGGTGTATGTTAGAGATCGACTGATACAGGTTTTTGAAGGCTGATACCGATTTTTTTTTACATCAGTCTAAACGATACACCGATACGTGCAGCCAATTTTTTTTGGCCGATTCTTTAAGCCAATACTGCCTTTTTGTCCTCCACTAATATGATAAAAATTAGAATGATAACAAATGTTACAT